GTAAGCAGCGCCGCGACGGCGCAGAACCCCATCAACGGGCCTGCACGCATCGCATGTTGCTCCCCGGATTGCGCTTGGGCCGCCGCCGCGTATATAAGGTAGGCAAAACCGGCTCAGAGCATCATTTCTTTCCTATCCCGCTCTCCGAGGTGTTGACTCGGAAGCATTCCTAGGTCTCCGAGGTGCTGACTCGGAACCGACAACCCCCTCCGAGGTGCTGACTCGGAAAATACCTGCTCCGATCTTCGAGGTGTTGACTCGGAATAACCGATCCTTCCTCCCGAGATGTTAACTCGGGAGGACACCCGAGCCCCAGACCGCTCGCTCGAGGAGCTGACTCGAACTCACCGACGATTCCCCCGAGGTGTTGACTCGGATAGACCAATCCTCCCTCCCAAGGTGTTGACTCGGGAGGAATCCTGACCGACTTCCCCCCGAGGAGTTGACTCGAGGTAACCGATCCTGCCTCTCCGAGGTGTTGACTCGGAAGGATCCCGTACCGACCGTGCCCAGGGCATTGCCCCAGGCACACCGACCGTCCCGATAGCCGTTCTCACGGCTCACCGATAGCCGTTTTCACGGCTCACCAGGACATCTCTCGCTACTAGGTAACAAACCGACCCGCCGACCGTGCGCACCACGTCGTGCCGCGACCCTCCGCATTCGCGCACCGCGCAACCGACATTCCCCGCCGATACGCGTACCTGCGTTCCCGTAGCCGTCAAGAAACTCCTCGTTGTACAGTGCGGAGCACCATATCGTGCGCCATGAGGAGAAGTAGTTCTCCTCCGGCTGCCTCCTACTAGCACGCGCCAGCGGCCCGAGATTTAATCCATATGTACCGGCACGGTTACCGATAATACATACCGACGCGGTTACCAATAATACCGACAGCCATATGTTACCATAAAATTATCGCAAACATTAAAAAGAGTAATTGCATTGAAAGTGACTTTAATAATTTATATCATATTTATTTATTTAATTATTAGCTTTTACGTGATATAAGAAACTT